AAAAAAAAAAAAAATCAGTGCTTCTGTTACTAAAGATGCAAGAAAGATGAAATTAGATATTAGAAGACAACCCCTTCATATCACTCCTGTTGAAAAGCTTGCAGTAGCTTTCACTGAATCAAAAATATGCTCTTCATTCTGGCATTCAACACCTACCAAGATCTGGCCTCAGTTCACTCTCCAGCCTTGTTCTTGCACCGAAAACAAGACTGTGTGCTGCTTCCACATTTTCTTGCCTCTTGCAATCCCAACCCATAACCCTTCTTTTCCAAAGACTTGGTAAATTCCTCTTGCTTTGTTCTGTTTACTGCCCATAGCTTTTGGTGCTGTTACTGTGCACTACACAGCTATGATAATAGTGAGCTCTCAAGGGGGAGTGGGGGACTCCCTGCATTATCAGCATTGTCACTGGTGTGCATCAGAAAGCAGTGTTTGGTGGTCATCGTGGTGGTGGTGGTGGTGGAGGGGGGGAGCGTTATGCCATGCTGAATGCGTCTGTCATTGAACTAGCAAAACCTCGTCAAAAGGAGTTGGTTTCTTGGGACTATTTTTCAGGGACGCCTGCTGTGTAGCTGTTCTACCTACATGTAAGGCAAATCAGGAAACTTGTTTCTTGGCTGCTCTGGCCTCCTCCATAGCTGACAAAGGTCTGATTTTTCTGCCTTCTTTTCCGCCCTCCCCTTTCTTTTTAAAATCTTTCTCCTTTTGTGCTTCTCCTATGTTTATTTTTGTCTCTTTAATTTATACAACTTGTGCTTGTACGTATTTAGTACAAAAAATTATTGGTTCCTGTATTTAGGCACCTGCCTATCTTATTTCATCTTTCCTGCTTCTTTGGTAATAGAAGCACTGATTTTTATTTTTTTACATCTTCATATACCTGTGTAAAATAAAGATTATGTTCCCTAACTTCTCTCCCAGCCAGCTGTGGTCATGGGACCAATTCTGGTGAATGCCATATAAAAGGAAACAGTGTGTGCAATTTTTAGGAAGTACTTTTATTTTTAAAGATTTATTTGTTTATGTATACAAGAGCTGGGGTGCAGGCCAGAGGTGTGGAGGGTGAGAGGATTCACCAGAGACAGAGTGGGGAGCAAAACAGGCAGATTGATTGAAATACACTGCTGAGCAGTGGGTGAGACAGAAGAGGTCTGCTGCCCCACTTGGGTCAAATTCCTGGCTTGGGATCAAACTTGTGCTGCAGTGGCTGTGGATAACTGAAGAATGTCATCACGCACGATTTCTACCTCCATCTGATGAGAGGGATTGAGTTAGATCAGGAAGGAATGACTACCAGTTAGAATGAGTCTGGTTCTCCCAAAAATGTATTATACCTGGCCCAATAATTCATTGAAGTCTGTCTGGAAAACAGCTGTGGACTTCTGAAAAGATAACTAAGCTTTTATGTAGAACTCACAGGTTCCTAAATGGACACCCAGTAGAGCCATCTAGAGTTTACAAAGGAAAGATTCCAGGATTCCAAACCTAGAAATTTAATTTTTGTAGGACCAAGGCATCTATACATATATTTTTGAAAGATTGATTTATTTATGCATAAAGAACTAAAGTACAGGACAGAGATGCTGGGTCAGTGAGAGGATTCATCAGAGACAGTGTGAGGAGCAGAACAGGCAGATCCATGAAGTACACTGCTGAGGGGAGCAGCGGGCGGGTCAGGAGAGGTTGGCTGTGCCATGTGGGTCACCCCCGGGGTAG